TGCCGTCAAACGGTTGAGCACTGCCGTGTGTGTATCCTGTCGCAAAATGCGGCGAAAAGTCCTACACGATGGTAATAATGTGATTAAGGTGTGTACATATATTTACTGCACTTATATAATCCGACTAAAATAGGAATACTCCACGTCTTAATTCGATTAGTGTTTACTTCGATTATGACTTTAGCCGAATTAAGGTAATCAAAAATCTCAGTTTACATGGTAGATTCTTAATCAGAGTATCGTCTTAATCGTATTAAAATCGGAGTACTGTTGTCCATGTAAACGTAGTACATGTACATGGACAACAATACTCTGATTTTAATACTATATGTTTATACATGCAATTCTGGAGGGGACGTCGGATGGCGTCGCGTGGTGACGTAATGACGTGTGCCATTAATCGATCTATGTACTATAACATGTAAAACGGGAACATGAAAGGAACTCATGTAAACACGGGAACATGAAAGGAACTCATGTAAACACGGGAACATGAAAGGAACTCATGTAAACACGGGAACATGAAAGGAACTCATGTAAACACCTTAATCGTAATATTGTCTTATTCAGAATAAGGTAAATAATTAGATTACTGATGCCCATGTAAACGTAGTTGCAGTGAAGACTGAAGATTGTGACAAAAAAACTTGCAATTCTGAGAAGCAAAGTCAGAAATGCAACCTTGGCAAGCATAAGTGACCTAAACATTTTGAACAGTAGTATATTGTTTTTAGACTTAAAAACAATGACTATGTTTAAGTTTATACCATAAATCTAGTTTTCTAATGAGTGCTGTATATTGAAGCATCAGTTCAGCACTGTGGTTCTTACTCCTGGTCCTGGGGACTCCCCGCTCTGCACATTTTGTACGTCTCGCTTATTTAACACACCTGATTCAGATTATCATTTCATTAGGTGAGAGCTCCATGAACTGAACTGAGTGTGTCAGATAAGGGGCACAGAGCAGGGGGTCCCGGGGACCAGGATTAAGAACCACTGGTTTAGCATATGAGTGGTATCAGCAGATTCTTTTTTTATTAGTCACCTTTGACTTCTATAGTTCAAGAAAACTGAAAAAGACAGGAGAGTGGAGGGGGAGTGTACCTGTAGAGACCTGCACCCCATGAGCATAAATGCTCTACAGGTTTTTTTTTTGTGAGAATGCACTGCCCACTGTGCCACAGCTCTGACTATGATACACACCATAAAAATGAAACACAAACATGCTGAATGACTAAGGCAAACCCATCATTCCCTCATTTCTCCCTGCAATAAACACACTAGGACACCTTGTGACAGCCGCTCTGTGTCAATGCATATAACAACCTTGCTTTCTTGGAAATGTAATGAGATACTAGCTGAGTGGACAGGCTGAACATCTTCAGACCGCTGGAGAAGCCCATTAAAGCAAATGAAGCATAGTAACAAAAAGCGCAGAGGAAGTCTTTAAATCCACATTATGGGGCCCAGTTCATTCACCCTGAGAGGTGGTGATAACAGTCCATATGCTGACGCAGTTCAACAGGAAGATTTACAGTATTTTTTTATGACCTATTCAAAAGTCAGCAAGAGGGGTCAGTAAGATTTTTTTTAATGTTTAATTAAGTCTCTTGTGCTCTCAAAGGGTGTTTATATGGTCAAAAATATTGTAAAAACAATAATATGGTGAAATATTATTACAAATTAAAATAACTTGTGTATTTGAATATATATATATATTTTTTGAAGGATCATTTCACACTGAAGACTGGAGTAATGGCTGCTGAAGAATTCTCAGTCTAATATGAAATCATTCCAATATTTGGTGCTCACATTTTATTATTATCAATGTTAAACATAGCCGTGCATGTTTTTCATTATTCTTTGATGAATATATAGATTCTTTGATATTTAAATGCACACACATATACTGTATGCATGTTAAATGGCATTACCTCTGAATAGGTAATGCTTCAGAAATTAATCATTCATAATACAAAAATATTATCTTGAAAAATACACTGGCCAAAAGTATATATTGGTTTGGGTCATATAGTGTATGTTTGTCAACTTTGTATACACTTACAAATGTATCAGCTAGATGAAGATAAGAAAACTATATTATTGTTAATTTGATGACAATTTACATTTCTGGTCAAAATTAAACATTTGGTGAAAATGGTATAAAACAATTTTCAAAATGTATTAATCTAATATGTATATAAAAAGCTTTCTATAAAAAAAAAAAACAAACAAAAAAAATCTGTTCATCGTAGTCATAAAGACGTGGATCAATCCGAGGTTGTAGCAGGCAGTTTTTGTTTATTTAAAAGTAAAAAAATTACATTGCTGTGTAATAATTACAAGCCAGCTAGGTTTGTTTTCTCTAACATCAAGTTATACCTGCTGTAATCAGACAAACAGAAAACTGTCACTAATTCTGTCAATCATCAAGCTTGGTTCCCCGAGCAGTCGCATGCCTGAGCAATCAGTGGAGAGACAGGCCTCTCACCGCCGTCCAAGCATTAACACACAGTTATAAAGTAACCTGTGGGGACAGTCACCATGGAAACTTGCCTCATTACGCCAAAACCGAGAAATATAAAGCGAGAGAGGGGGGCACGCACCTGCCATTTCACAACACAACTTTGCCAGAGTTTCATTTTGTACAGTTAAGCAGAACTAAGGGGGAATACTCTTTGTTTAGGTTAAGTCAAAACTTAACCGAACAGTATAACCGGATCGGATACAAGTGGACATTTTTTGAAGAGTACATACCCTCATCTTCAATATTACGTATTCAACCATATGTGAGGAGCCCTGGATACAACATTCAGATGGAGTGAAGTGTTAGGCCTGGATTGCACCTTGGAAAAAAGGGCAAGAAATGGAGTCTAATGCAGTTCCTTGAGGAACCTATTTTGATATTTAACTTACCTTGGCTGGGAGTACACATTCACCATGGGGAATAGCAACTCCAGGCCAAGGATTTGCCAAGTTGCACCATCTCATTGTCAACCAATGGAGGATGAGCCTTCTCTGTTTCCATCTTCACCATGGATGATCACTGCTGTTAAAGGTGCAGAGATGCAAGAGAACAGGATTGTGGGACAGAGGAAGACCAACCATCTGCCTCCTTTGGCAGGAAGACACAAAATACCCAATTCTGTTCATTTAGAACCAGGTGAGTACTGTGATCATTAGACTTCACATTTGGCAGTAATTATGAACAATATTATTATATGAATATGTTGCAGAGCACCACAGTTCATGCTTACGCCTAGTGAAACAAGAACATCAGTTTTAAACTCATTTTGACTTTTGAATTTCAGCAAAATAGAGCATCGACAATCAAGTCTACTCATGACATTGCTAACTGAATGTTGTTCAGACAAAAGTATTACACAGTGCAAAAAAGTCTTATAAGTTTGAAGTGTGACGTTACTTACATACTTTCCCAGCCTAGTATGCAGAGACTATAAGGCTGAATTTAGGTTAGCATACTAGTATATTATTTGCACTTATAGGTAAGAGTTATATGTAGTATGCTATTCTGAATTCATCCTGGGTGGGATGATCATTTTAAAGGGATAGTTCACCCAGAAATGAAAATGTGATGTTTATCTGCTTACCCCCAGGGCATCGAAGATGTAGGTGACTTTGTTTCTTCAGTAGAACACAAACAAAGATTTTTAACTCAAACCATTGCAGTCTGTCAGTCATATAATGGCAGTCTATGGGCTCCACGGCTTTGAGAGTTAAAAAAACATACACAGACAAAACCAAATTAAACCCTGCGGCTCGTGACGATACATTGAGGTCTTAAGACACGAAACGATCGGTCTGTGCAAGAAATTGAACAGTATTTATATCATTTTTTACCTCTGATCCACCGCAATGTCCAGCTGTCCTGAGCACGCGTTCTCAACAGCCAGCACGTGACGCGTGTACGTGCTCTGGCATAGTAGACATTTTAGCAAATGGCTGCAATATAACAAAGAGTGAAAAATTTAAGGGGGTCTGAATACTTTCCGTACCCACTGTAAGTAGATGCCTCATTAGTGACCGTTTCTATGGGCCGTGAGAATCTACTTATATGACAACCCTCTACGCACACCTTGGCAATATAATCGCCATTGGCTAGTAAATTTTTTTGTTTACTCGCCAGACTGATATACTATTTTACACACACACACGCGCGTTTACTTAGCTATCTGCCGTGGAGCCCATTGACTGCCATTATATGACTGACAGACTGCAACGGTTTGAGTTAAAGATCTTTGTTTGTGTTCTACTGAAGAAACAAAGTCACCTACATCTTGGATGCCCTTGGGGGTAAGCAGATAAACATCAAATTTTCATTTTTGGGTGAACTATCCCTTTAATGTTTGACCAATGGCAGATGGGGGAAGCTTTCAGAAAACCTGTTTAGAAGTTACATTTACATTACAGCGCAGTTCCTTTTGGTGCTATAGTGGAGTACCCATTATACACTTAAGTTTTAACAATCTATTTTTTATCCTAACATTTTTTTAAACAACATAGCATGATCGTGAGCCTTGTTTTTTATGATTATTTCATTCATGCTTGTGTTGTGAGTTGTGATGTCACCAACAGGATCTCAGAGTGTCTGTGATAAAACTGGTCACAGCATTATTAAGTCTCACCCACCACAACCAGCAAAGGTCTGAACACACTGTATTGTTACTTTCAGGTCTTTAATTTTAATTTTGATTCTAATTACGAGCATTCAACTCACAGGGATGGCAATCAATGACCCCTGCCATAGGGGCTGATGTGAATCCTGTCAAACATGCATGCGTGGCATACAAATCTGCAGAATCTGAGGTCTTTCAATATGTTCTTCCATTTTTGTTTGAAAGAATTAATCATTTTAAAGTTGTTTTTAAAGAGGGTAAATCTGAGAGCAGCTAATATCTCACCTTTTAATGAACATCATAAATGTTGTTCTTGTCAGGACAGGGAATGGAGAGATGGGCCTGTCCACTGCTATTCCAATCCCATCCTGGGAGGGCACTGTGGCACAAGCAAAACACTACAGGTATACAACTCTTTTCAGGGTGTACATTTAAAAAGCGAAACATTCATGAAACCAAATACGTTCAAAGTAAACTTCTTGCTTGAATCTTCTCAAAGTAACAGCTAAATTCATTGACGGGATAGTGCTGTAAGGTTTGAAGATATGTAAGGGATAATGTACAGCAGAGGTTCTCAACTCTGGCCCTCGAGAGCCACTTTAATGCAGAGTTTAGCTCCAACCTTGATCAAACTCATCTGCCTGATTAGCTTGTTCAGGTGTGTTTGATTAGGGTTGGATCTAAACTCTGCAGGAAAGTGGACCTCGAGGGCCAGAGTTGAGAACCCCTGATGTACAGCCAGCTGATTAATATCGCAAAATAAATCAAGGGCCCCCTTGCGGAATATTCTCAAAATACTAAAGCCCCATTCCCGGGGAACTTTTTTTTCCCCATGGTTCACTATCTTGCATTTAATTTAGATAAGTATGCAAATAGAAGAGCTGATATATTCTGAAGGGGGGTCTGTGACAACTCAGGAACGGAGAGTTTCTGATGGTGTTTCAAGACTAAAAGATGTAGATAAAGAGGGAGAAGATTGACAGCTGGTGAGCACTGAGCCTTGCCCTGTGGTCCCACTAGATCTGATTACAGTGTTGTTGGAGTGGAAAATATGCTGGGGTGCAGCCATATTACCTTCAACTGGGATCCATCATCAGGGTACAGGGGACCAGGAGTAGATCCCTTCTCCATACTCTGTAAATCCCAGTGCCGTCGACACTGAGAGAGATTTACGTTCTCAACCAACCTTTCCAGTCAATTTTAATTGTATATTTGCGCCACTGAAACCATATCTCAGTCTCTCAATCCCTAAACCAAAGGTGGGACACTTTCTATTGAGGCTTCAAGAATTGTCATGACAAGATCTTAGCAACTACTTAAAAATGGCACTTGGAATTACATTAACACATTGAGGCTATTTTAGGTGGATCACTCAAGCGTTCTTGACCTTCGCAGGGACACATGAAAGGTCTCCTGCTGGCACAGACGATGCTCAGTCGCCAAGCAACCAAGAAGCGGCAAGCTCAGCAGAGGTGCTTTAGGGAAAGTCGAGGGAAACAGAAGAGGGTGTACACCTCTTATCGTGAGTCCCTCAGTTCAATCGTTTTACCAATTGTTGAATTGCCCAAATGGTCCTTTCCATTTTGGTTGAGTACTTAACCTCACTGATGTCTTGTCTTATGTGACAGTGGAAGGAGATGAGATGGAAGGAGGACAGAGGGTTCGGCTTGTGTCCAGGCCAATGCAACAAAACATCTTCTGGGATGAGTCTGAAGGATGGATTCTGGATGTAAGGGAGCTGCTGCAGCCAAGTCCACAGTTGACAGACCCAAACGTGGGAGACACGAGTGACAAACCACTAATGGAAAATGGAATTCCGTCAGACGTAGAAGACCAGAAAAGTAGAGGTCTGGGGAAGGAATGTTGTCATAAGAACTGCCTGAACTCTCGAAGGAGTAGAACAGATCTGGACAGTGGTTTGACAGAAACTGTGCAAAGGCCTTGCAATGCAAATGTGAAGTTACCTTGGCATACTGAAAAACGAGTATGGACATTACTCTGATTCATCCAGGAAAATATATACACAGGAAGAATAGGAAATTAACAAGAGGCCTTTGTTACAGGCAGACTCTGAAAAGCACAGTTAGTCTGGGAGGATGCAAGCGCAAGTGTACATGAAATGATGCTTCAATCTGATTTGTATTGCATATGTGGTATGTTGTCAATTACTCGGACACCATTAACTCATCCTTCAGTTCATAAATGAGAGGGAAATGTGATTACGGTAGTACACTTCTAGTACAACTACTACAACTTCTAGCAAACAAGTAGGCCATACCTGTTTATAATTCCTGTGGAGTCTGCAGAATTCAGGTGCAAGTCAACAGTGCTTTACAGATACACTTTGATCCTTCCATTTCTTGCCAGGTGTAAATTGGAGCAATTTAATGTGGAATAGTTCTTTCACCATAGTGAGAGCGTAATGGTTAACAGCCTGGGCTGCTGAAGAAAGGTTGCAACATCAATCCCGATTTTACAAATTTGCTTGTCCTGTGGTGATGCTACAGCCTATTTGTGCATCTCGGCTGCAGGGAAACACCCTGGATGCATGGTCAGTCCATCGCAGGGCTAACAAACACTCACATGGGCGGCAATTTATTGTCTCCAGTTCACCTGTCCCGCATGTCTTTGGATTGTGGAAAAATCTGGAGCACCTGGAGGAAACCCACACCAACATGGGGAGAACAAACTTGACACAGAATGTCCTCCTGACTCAAAGGTGACTCAAACATAGGGACCTTCTAGGTGTGAGATGACAATACTACAATCCTAAGAACCAGAATCCCTTACCAGTCACCAGATCATAATCCCCTGCAACCAAATGACATAACCCATTTCCTCCCATTGTTTTGTCCAATATAAAAAGGTGTTCCAATGACATGTAATGTTTATGATAATTTCCTATCCAGCAGGAATTGGTCTTTTTTTAACTAGGCAAACATTTTTGAGTTAAAGGAATAGTTCACCCAAAAATGAAAATTTGCTTCAGCCCAAACAAGATGTAGATGGGGTTCTTTATCAAAACAGTTTTGGAAAAACATTAGCATTACATCACTTGCTCACCAATGGATCCTCAGCCTAGGTAAATTTTAAGCAAATTTTAAAAACTTTTTGGGTGAACTATCCAAGTGTGAAATCAAGTGACGTGTAGCCAAGTATGGTGTCCTATACTCAAAATTTGTGCTCTACATTTAACCCATCCAAGTGCACACACACAGCAGTGAGTAGTGAACACACACACACGGAGCAGTGGGCAGCCATGTTTGCTGCAGTGCCCAGGGAGCAGTTGGGGGTTCAGTGCCTTTCTCAAGGGCACCTCAGTCATTCACTCCCCCCACCTACAATCCCTGCCGGTACAGAGACTTGAACCCGTGACCTTTGGGTTACAAGTCCTACTCTTTAACCATTAGGTTAAAAAATAGGAAGATTTGCACTTCTAAAAATAGGAAGATTTGCACTTTTTCAATAAATCCATCAGAAAAACAAAGGATGAAGTGGCTAACCATCAAACAACTTATGAAAGCATAATATAAATAAACTTTGAAACTGGTCTAAAACGATTGTTACACGATGTGGTATTATGATTATGCAAAACAAATGGTGTCTAAAGACCTTAAAGTCAGAACATGCAAATCATTATGCTACATTTGCAATTTGACTGTAAAACAGGATTGGATGTAGTCTGAGGAATAAAAAAAAAAATCTTGTCATGTAAATCGGTCTTGTGCAATTATGTTAAAATAAACATTGTGGTGGTTTTGAGTACAGCTGCCTCCTCTTGACAACAAAAATGAATTTTAACAGATTTAAATTAGTGTTCTTATACAAATTAACATCCATGGATAATCAAGTACCACTGACGAGGTAAATAAACAAAACTACATCTGAGCACAGCTGATGTTGAACTTTGTCACTTTTGCTGCAATGACCTTTTTTTTTTTTCCTTACTGAAGTAAGCAAGGTTTAAAGGTCAAGTTTCTAATTGTTGCACTACTAGCAGCATCAAAACTAATTTTAAAATTATGTTGCAAACAAGTTCCAGACAATTCCCTGGCTACCATTATTCAGCCAAATATGTAGTTCTGCCTAAAAAAAATACCACTATGTTTGGACACATAAAAAGATTCTGCTTGGTTGCCACTGGTGGCACATATTTACATACTTAACCTTTAATCAATAAAATAAACCACATAATTAAAAACTAATGGAAATCAATACGTTACAAATGAAATGTAATAAAAGTCCCCAGGTCTCCTTTCAGAAAGACCAAGCTACTACATTTGCTTAAAAATCAAATAATTTATTTATAATTTTTAAACCAGGTCTGTTGTCCACTTGAAAACAAAGAAACTTTTGCAAGACATTTTGTCAGGGGTGAAAGTGGGAGAAAGAAGGGTGGAGAAAATTTTAATCAACATGCAAACGGTCGCTCTTTCCCCAACAAAATGGATCCATGTTTGTAGAGCATTGTCTCGCTTGTCCAAATCATTAGCTGAAAGTACAAGTGTAACACTAACTACAACATAAACTCCACCGTTTACAGGGATGAGAATTAGCCACAAGTGCAGATTCAAAATTAGTCCCATCAATGAATAATTCCCCAAACAGAAGCCAGTCAGATTAGTGTCCACAGAATAGTGATCTTATCCAGCTAGAACCTGCCAGCTGTTCGGTCTAAAGCTGTTAAATGGCCATAACATTTGATGGACAGCTTACAGTAATAATCCACAAAAGTCAGATATTGGCAGTGCAAAACAACATCATTGTGCCAACCACAATTTTAAACAATAAGTATTCATCCGAAAAATATGGGCAGCATAGAATAGTGATGATCGACAGCCAGAAATGCATTATTGTCTGTCAAGGTTGGCAGCTTGTGAAAGGTTTTGAATTTTATTAACAGGATACTTCACCAAAAAAAGAAAATTGTCATCATTTACTCATCCTAATGTTGTTCCAAACCTATATGACTTTCTACCTTCTGCAGAACATAAAAGAATATAAATTGAAGAAAGTTTCAACTGCTTTTGTCCATACAATAAAAGTCAAGAAAAACCAGGGCGACTCTTGACTGTACGGACAAAAAAAACGTATTTATCAAAATATATTCTATTGTGTTCTACAGAAAACAAACTCAAATAGGTTTGGAATAATATGAGGGTGAGTAAATGATGATGTGAATCTAAACTATCCCTTGATTTCAGACTAAATTTACATCTGTAATCTAAAGACTGACTTAGATGGTCTGTTTAGATGAAAACTACTCAAAGGCTCTCAAATTTCCATCTTAACAGCAACTGTCCACAAATCAAAAGGAATAAAGTCCTTACAAAGACAAGTTGGCTGTTAATAACCACTGGGACCTTGAAAGGAGCCCTTGACAAGTGAAAGGAGAATTGAACAGAAACCAAACACCTGAGCCTTACTGACAGCACACGGTCTGATGCATCAAAGGGGAGTGATGGGACCGTTACGTTTCTGGGAGATGTACTACAATTTGGGCTTTAAAAAAATGCAACTAAACAGAAAACAACCCAAAAAAAAAAAAAAATAAAGATGCTTAAATAAAAAAAAAAAAAAAAAAAGATGCTTAAATTCCTCTTCCCATAAATCCATCAGCAAAATCAGTGTATTTAAGCGCGAATTTATAAAGCAACCCATCAATCTTCTCAACAACTGAGAGCAGCAACTCTATGGGGAACTTTTCCAATGACAATCAAAAACGACAAATCAAACTTCCATATGTACATTTAGCAAATCAAAAAAAACTTGTTTCCCACTCCAAACTTGATTAAACAAAAAGGTTTTCTTCCAAGAGCAACTCATGAGCCAGCAGCAAAGCAAAATGGGGGTCTATTGGCAATGACATAGAAACACTTACATACAACATGGGTGATGGTGCAACCTGCCACAGCACACTACTGTTAAACACAAACCCATAAAAACGCTAACCTCCAGAAACTTCCTCCGTTAAATTTTAAAACACCTCAAAACGATGTCATCTTGCATATAAATCAATCTGTTTCATGACTTTAAAGCAACTATTTGCATGAGTCCATTTGAGCAACTAAGCTGGTGAGATCTGTATTCTGCCCCCTACTGGTCCACTAACGCAGTGGCGGACAAGGAAATTATACCCCATCTAATCAGTGCAAAAATTAGAAGTGCGTCCGTTTGAGGTTCATTTGTCTAGGTCAGCATATCTGAATATCCAAACATCATGTAAGACATGGAAAGGGAGAATGACTGGTAAAAAGTCCTCAAATAACAGGGAATACTCTCCTTTTAGGCCCATTTAGAAATTCATGTTCATTTCAATTTAGTAGTACAAAACACTCATGAAGAAGCATCGAGACAGCTTGTATGGTGAGATGATGATATTCGTGTCAGAATCACAAGTCACGTAAACCAATATGGCATAATGTGAGCTAATAAGACCAACTTAAAAGAGCAGAGGTGCCATCTGCACTGCTTCGCAGCATTCAGGTTAAAGTGTTTCTGAATCTGTGTATGTTAGTTTGTCATAGATCAAACTTCTAAAGCGGACAAAGCTCTGCTCAGTGTTTTCCAAAACATAAAATTAAACGCATAAAATAAACCACAGACACCAGTATGGAAAAAACAAAAACAAAACCACGCAAAGCAGCAGGCTACAACACAATTGCAACCTGCCATGCTCCCGTGCACTCTCTTTAAAAAAAAAAAAAAAAAAAGGGTAAAAACAAAAATGGATTTGAGTAGTTGAGTCCGTTTAAACACATTTATATCCTTCGGTTTATGATTGTTCGTAAAAAAAAAAAACAACAACAACAACAACAGAGGTGTGGCGCATTGTTTACTTTCGGCATGATACGTTTCGCGGATGCTGTCAACATGTTCGGCCCAGCTCATCTCCGCTACGCGACACAAATACACAGAGGTCTTAATTCAGGCTATTGACACCTGAGCATAGAAGCCACCACGTTTCCTTTTCAGTGGCAGTGTCATATTAGTACCTGACTT